CTGGGCGGGATCCGGACAGATCCGGACAGATCCGGCAGCCCCAGGAATCGATCGGAGTCTTTACGAATTCTTAGGGATCCGAAGGAATCCATTCCCAGAACACCATTCCCAGGCCACATTTTGAATGCCCGGAGCCAGCCGTAGGCCACTTCGTCTTCTTCGTGTTCCCAGAACACCATTCCCAGGCCAGATGTTGAATGCCTGGAGCCAACTGTAGGCCACTTCGTGTTCTTCGTCTTCCCAGAACACCATTCCCAGGTCACATTTTTGAATGCCCGAAGCCAACTGTAAGCCACTTCGTGTTCATCGTGTTCCCAGAACACCATTCCCAGGCCACATTTTGAATGCCAGGAGCCAACTGTAGGCCACTTCGTGTTCTTCGCGTTCCCCGAACACCATTCCCAGGCCACAATTGAAATGCCCGGAGCCAACTGTAGGCCACTTCGTGTTCTTCGTGTTCCCGGAATACCATTCCTGTACAATATTTTGATTGCCCGGAGCCAGCTGTGGACCACTTTGTGATCTTCGTGCTCCAAGAACACCAGTCTTGTGCCATATTTTGAATGCCCGAGCTGAGGCAGGCTGAGGCAGAGGCAGGCTGAGGCCGAGGCAGGCTGAGGCCGAGGCAGGCTGAGGCTGAGGCTGAGGCAAGCCGAGGCAGGCTGAGGCTGAGGCTGAGGCAGGCTGAGGCTGAGGCAGGCTGGGGCTGAGGCTGACGCAGGCTGAAGCCGAGGCAGGCTGAAGTTGAGGCGGAGGCAGGCTGAGGCTGAGGCAGGCTGAGACTGAGGCTGAGGCAGGCTGAGGCTGAGGCTGAGGCTGAGGCTGATGCAGGCTGAGGCTGAGAGGCTGACGCTGAGGCTGAGGCTGAGGCCGAGGCAGGCTGCGGCTGAAGCTGAGGCAAGCCGAGGCAGGCTGAGGCTGAGGCTGAAGTTGTGGCAGGCTGAGGATGAGTCTGAGGCTGTGGCTGAGGCTGAGGCAAGCTGCGGCTGAGGCAGGCTGAGGCTGAGGCTGATGCAGGCTGAGACTGAGGCAGGCTGAGGCTGAGGCTGAGGCAGGCTGAGGCTGAGGCTGAGGCAGGCTGAGGCCGAGGCTGAGGCAGCTGAGGCGAGGCAGGAGGCTGAGGCTGAGGCTGAGGCAGGCTGAGGCTGAGGCAGGCTGAGGCTGAGGCCGAGGCAGGCTCAGGAGGCTGAGGCAGGCTGAGGCTGAGGCAGGCTGAGACTGAGGCTGAGGCAGGCTGAGGCTGAGGCTGAGGCAGGCTGAGGCTGAGAGGCTGACGCTGAGGCTGAGGCAGGCTGAAGCTGAAGCTGAGGCCGAGGCATGCTGAGGCTGAGGCTGAGGCAAGCCGAGGCAGGCTGAGGCTGAGGCTGAAGCTGAGGCTGAGGCTGAGGCTGAGGCTGTGGCTGAGGCTGAGGCAAGCTGCGGCTGGGGCAGGCTGAGGCTGAGGCTGATGCAGGCTGAGGCTGAGGCAGGCTGAGGCAGGCTGAGGCTGAGGCTGAGGCAGGCTGAGGCTGAGGCTGAGGCCGAGGCAGGCTGAGGCTGATGCCGAGGCAGGCTGAGGCTGAGACAGGCTGAGGCTGATGCTGAGGCAGGCTGAGGCTGAGACAGGCTGAGGCTGAGGCTGAGGCAGGCTGAGGCTGAGGCAGGCTGAGGCTGAGGCTGAGGCAGGCTCAGGAGGCTGAGGCGGGCTGAGGCTGAGGCAGGCTGAGCCTGAGGCTGAGGCAGGCTGAGGCTGAGGCTGAGGCTGATGAGGCTGAGGCTAAGGATTCCTGAGGGTGCCTAAGGATGCCTTAGGAATCCCTAGGAATCCTTAGGATTACATTGGCCGTTGCCACTGCGACTGTCATTGCGAATGCGACTGCGACTGCGAGAACAGCAGAATTCTACAACGGGATTCTCACCTGAATCTTAAGGGGAATGCTTCCAGATATGCTTATACACATTGCTGTTAGGTTGCTTTGCCGGGATAATTGTGATTCATTGCTTTGCCGATCGGCGCGCGCGGGCCCTCCCCCCGCCCTCCCCCCCCCCCCCCTTGGAGTGGATCTTGGCTGTTTTGGGCGCCTGATTCGAGCAGGCGGACTCCTCGGAATGCCGAATTAGAAAAACGCTCACCTTGCAGCCGCTCGGGAGCGTCCAAGAGGGGGTCGATGACTGACGGGGGGAGTGGCTATCATGAACGGGGGGCATGGTGAGTCTCCCCAGGCCTCGTGGCGCCTCTTCTTCCTTCGCTGCGCCCCCTGGGTCCCCCAGGGGCCGCGCGCGTGCCTCGGGCCATGATCTGCGAGGCCCCCCCTTCCGGAGGGTTCCAAAGGGGGTCTTTAGGGGAGGGGGTGTTCCAGAAAGCCCCCCAGGGGCCTTGGAACCTCGTCCAAACAGGACGTGCGAAGCCCTTGGGGGACCCCTCCTGGAAACCCCATCCCCCCAAAAACCCTTTTGGAACCCTCCGCCTCTTGGAGCAGCAGCAGCAGCAGCAGCAGGAGGAGGGGGGGGAGGAGGAGGAGGAGGAGGAGGAGGAGGAGGAGGAGGAGGAGGAGGAGGAGGAGGAGGAGGAGGAGGAGGAGGAGGAGGAGGAGGAGCAGGAGCAGGAGGAGGAGGAGGAGGAGGAGGGAGGAGGAGGAGGGAGAAGAAGGAGGAGGAGGAGGAGCGAGGGAGGAGCCCGAGCTCGAGCGCTTCGCGGCCCGCGGCATTCCGACGGTCCGGCTCGGTCGGCTGCAGCGCCGCTGCGCGATTCTAGAGGCTGCCTGCGGCTGGTGGGCTTCGGCCTTGCCGACGGCTTGGTCGATATACTCAGTTGGGCGACGTGTCGCCATGGGCGGCCTCTTGCGGCCCACGAGGCGCTCGCCTTGATCACGACCAGGGCTGGACCTAAACGCGGTTTTGCTGGACTTCGGCTGTGTTGTGTTGTTCATGTTGGCCGGGAGGTACAGGAGAGCAGGCAGAGCGAAACGAAACACGAAACGAGAACAAAACGAAAAACAACATTTAGGTCCAGCCCTGCAGCTCCAGCGGGGCCAACTTTGGGGCCCGTCCGTGCCGCCCCGATCGGCCATGCAGCCAGGCCGGCACCCGCAGCGCTCGAGCCTACCGCGATCTGCAAGTGTCGGCTCGACGTAAGAGTGACCCTTCGCTGGAGTGACCTGTGGTGCGGGCCCACAGGGGTCCACTGCACGTAAGAGTGACCCTTCGCCAGTGTGACCTTTGGTGCGGGCCCAGTGGGGCTTCCCGCTGGCTGAACTCGACGCGGTAGTTGCGTCATGCGCGCTTGTGTTTGGCCCCCCGCGGCCACTAAAAGATCGGAGGTGGATAGACCTCCTACCTTGACACGTCGATGAAGGAATTGGCCGTTTTCGGTTCGCGAGAGGGCGTTGCGGCCGTCATGTTTGCGGGTCCAGGTCCGTCGGTTTCGGTAACAGGCCGTTTTCACTGAGGGGAGTTTTATTACAGGGAGGTTTGTCCACCGCCGAAAAGAGTCGCGCACCAAAGGTCACTCCTACCCAGGGCCAATTTTTGCGTGTGGCCGACGGGGCCCCACGATCGACGAGCGCTGCGCGACATCAGCGGCCTGCGCGCTTGGGTTTGCGCCCCCTCGCGCCCCCTCAAAAGGCTGCCCGAGCATTTCTTTGGGTGGAGGGCAAAGGGTGAAATCTGAAGTGCCGTTTCGATGGATTCTCGTGGCTTGAGTCTGCCAGACGTGAATCACAAGACGAGTTGATTTTCGGTTTGCAAGAAGCCCATATATGGATTTCACCCTGAGCCCTCCACCCTGAGAAAATGCTCAGGCTGCTCACCAGAGGTCGCTCTTGCCCGGGGTCGCTCCTCGCGTGTGGCCGAAAAAGTGCCCAGCGGTGCCGTGTGCCGTGCCGCCTCGGCTGACGGTGGCGGCATTCCTGGTGGGTTCGCTGGCGGTTGGCATGGTGGTGGGTCGGCAGAAGGAAAGGGGAAACGTGGTAGGGAGGAGGGCGGAGTCCACGGACGAAAAGATCTGAAGATACGTCGGTCCGCCATCGGGGACGCCTGTGCCAGGGCGGGTGCAACGTTGCGAGCCCTGCAGTGACGTGTCGGGGTATGACCTCCCCAGCCGCTCTGGGACATGCGTCGGATATGGTGGATACTACCCTCTTTGCTTTAAGGAGTTACAGTTTCAGTTGTTTTGCCGATTCGTATTCGTAGCACTGTCATTATCTTTAATACGGCGCGTCGTCGGGGGAGTTGGTGGAGGAGGGGGAGGTGGCATAATATGTGGGGAGGGATAAGACGGAGCATGAGCAGGAGAACGGAGATCAGACAGGAGTGGTGGAAGGAGGAAGGGAGAGAGGAGCAGGAAATGGAGGCAGAGAGGAACAGGAACATGACGACGCAAACAGTGCCAGCTGCTGGAAGGAGCGGCTGACAAACGAAGGAGGAGGATGGTGCAGCGGCTGTGGTAGGAGAGTAAGCAGGAAGAGGAGGAAGAGGAGGAGGAGGAGGAGGAGGAGGAGGTGGATGAAGAGGAGGAGCTGGTGGAGGCATGGGAGGAGGGAAAGAGAGAGAGAGATAGAGAGTTAGAGAGAGCGAGAGGAGGAGAGAGAGGGAGGGAGAGAGAGGGGTGCACAGAGAGAGAGAGAGAGAGACAGCGAGAGAGAGAGAGAGAGACACAAAAAAAAGAGAGGAAGGGTGGGACTGCGAGCAATGGCATGGCCCATATACCTGACGTCCAGCAGATAACAAGATTTCGTTTAAGTGAGAAGGTGCCTGGCAGAAAACCAAACAGTGAGCGCCCGACCCGCGACGAGCACAAGCACTGTTCGGGCTCAAAACAAAACACTAGCAGCGGACAAGCACGCGCGCTATTTTGGCAGACGCAGGCGCGTGCCGTCCTCCACCACGCTCAGGCTAGGCCTCAGCAGAGGCCCAGCTGTGCCGCCAGACTGGCAGCCCCGCGTCCCGAACCGCTAGGCGGTCAAGGCCGAAAAAGGAAAAGGACCTACGAAGGGCCAGGGAGGGCCTGGGAGGGAAGGGCC